GGCAAAATATTGCAGGTTCATGGCTGAATGCCCAGTCTGTGGTACCGATGACCATACCAACATATCTTGTGGTCTACCTCCCTCCTGCCTTAATTGTCATAAAGCTCACCCATCTTATTCTCGTCGTTGCCAGGTTTAGTTGAACGAACGTGAAATCCGTTGTCTCAAAGAGACAGAAGACTTTACTTACATCATGGCAGTGTCTCATTTACGCCTCCAGGGGAGACTCAATCATGTTTCCAATTTGCGAGTTACTAAGAGACCCCCAACCTCTGAGGTCCCAATTCCCGCAGTCTCCCCTGCAATCACATCTTCCACAGTCACCTCTGTATCTAACTCTTTTGCAGTCCTGGACTCCGAGGTCCCTACCTCGTCACCTACAATTCTCAAATCTTCATCTTACATACGAGCTTCTCTGTCTACAAGACCTCGCACAACTTCCCCTTCCCCTTGCCTCTCTACTTCAAAGTCCAACAAATCCCCTAAAGGTAAATCTCTTTCATTTCCAGTCTCTGGATCTTTACCTCTTGCTCGTTCTGTTGCGAGTGTGAAGGTCCATCCTCCCCGTCGTACATTACCTTCCTCTCCTGTCCCCTCCCAAGCTTCTTCTCAAGCTACCTCTAACCTCTCGTCCCCCCCTTCCCCTTACTTTGGTAAATTCCGTCGTCGCCCTGATCTTTACTCACCCTCCTTCTTCTATCTCCAATATCATCCCACGTACAACATCATCGTCCTCTTAAATAATAGAAGCTATCTCCGACTACACTGCCAAGACTAAACCATTAATGGACACCGATCCATCTCCTGTCGCTCCTCTTCACTCTTCTCCATCTGCACAACCCCTTTCTTTGCAGTGTTCCAACCCTTCACTGCTTGTTCGTTTTCCGCTGCCTTCACATACCGACTTTTCTAACCCTTCTAGTCCGTAGATACCTCTGTGACCAGACAGAACAGAAAAGGGGCAAGAGGTTACCCCTGTTGACCCCCATTCACATGAGTCAATTTCATGCTCTCCAAGCAGGAGTTTAGAAGTGCCACATTAGTACAATTGGAGGAAAGTGTCTAGAAATTGCTAGGTGGTACAAATACGTTTATGATGTTTGTGTCTAATGACTAAGAATATAGATATAGTTATTTCCTTGTTGAAATAAAGTCTAGCTCATTCCATAAATTTTACTGTCTTAATTATTGATGTCTTAATTATTGATGGGAACCATGATTTTAAATTCAAAATATACAGAAAAACCAACAAATAACTGTTCTTATGTGTACTATTATCCATTAAATTTTTGTATTCTCATCAATATTTTTGAGAGTTTTGCGTATTTGCAGCCCAGAGCTCATATATGAAGAAATCTTGAGGATTTATGAAAGACCTAATGATATAAAATACCCAAAACACTAGAGTATTTTTTATATTTCAAAAACAGTTATATTAAAAAACAGTCATAATCAACTAAGAATATATATGTTGGCTCTTTCTTACCATGAAAACCTTCTTGGCATACATTCTCTACTTTAGAATTTTAAAATCAAAGTTGAATTTATAAATCTTGATACAGTAAAAAAAATCTGATTAAAAATTCCCCCAAAATACTAACGGCTGTGTCTACAAGATTCCTTGTAAAAACTACAATAAAGTTTATTACGTCAAACTAGGAAAAGCCTTAAACTAAGATTACAACAACGTAAATATAGCATTTGAACAAGACAAAAGTCTAATGCTTTGTTTATTTATGTGAAAGATTTTAACCATCCAATTGATTTTCAAAAAAGTTGAGAAAGTTGTATCAAGCAGGTCTATGGTTGAGAAAAATTTCCTTTTTTTGCATACCCTTTCAAATTTGTCCACTAATCATTGCAACTTCTCTTCAGAATCTCCAAAAAAAAAAGTCATCATTCTTTATCTTTTAATCCCACACATTTTGACAGCACTCGAACATACATTTCTCTTCCAACCTCATCTATTAATTTACTGAGCAACCATGGTGACATCACATATCCTTATCTAAGGGCTATTTTTACTTGTAAAACATCTTCCTCTCTCCTACATACCTTAACCTAAGTCTCACTCTCCTCGTAAAAACTCATGACTTTTCAGTAACCTACCTATCACACCTGCAACATATTTCCACATTCCTCTCCTATCCACCCTATCACATGCCTTTTCCAAATCCATAAATGCAGCAATAATCGCATTACCCTTATCCAGATACGGATCACCTATATGTTTCACTGCAATCACTTGGTCTACACACCCCCTACCCTTCTTAAAGCCTTTTTCTTCATCTGCGATCCTGCTCTGTGTCTTACCCTTAATTCTTTCGATAATAATTCTACCATACACTTTACCAGGTATACTCAGCAGGCAATAATTACGTCTTATAATTCTTACATTCTCTTTGGTCCCCTCTCCCTTTATATAAAAGAGCTATGCACGTTCTCTGCCAATCCCTGCGTACCTTCCCCTCTTTCATATATTTATTAAATAGAAGCACCAACCATTCCAAAACTACATCCCCACCTGCTTTTAACATTTTTGTTTTGATCCCATTAATCAGTCCCACAATCTAACAAACTATTGACATTACGTCCATGTCTTATCTTGCATACCTATTTAACCTCTTTTCCCTAAAATATGTATTACCTATTACCAAATCTCTTTCTGTATACAAAGAACAATCACAGCCCCTCCCCATTATCACATACACCTGGCACCCCAAACTTACCTACCACAACCTCTCTAACAGTTTCTTATACTTTAGAATTCATGTCTTCTACCACAATTTCTCTTTCACTTCGTTCATAACTCCCTAACCACTCGCTTAATTAACATCTCCCAAAAATATCTCACTCTCTCTCCTCTGCACTTCTCTCTTCTCCAAGTGCATAAATATCCGACCGTTATTTTAATCACATAATCCTTTAATTTATACATTTATATTCCTTCTTTTCTTGCAATAACTGATACTTCACCATTATTGCTTCTCCTTCCTTAGCTCTAACTCTCTCAATACGTCTGACCTAATACTTTCACTTATTTCTCCCTACTGAAACTTCCCTACCCCCTTCAATTTTGTTTCGCTTAGAGCCGTGACATCCAGTTTCCTTTCATTCATCTATTTCTTATCATCTGCACTACATCAACGCACATTCATTTTTTTAATTTTTCCTCCTTTTTATGTTTAGTAATATATACAGCAGAATGGGCTACCAGTACCTTTCTCCCGTCATTTTAGTCGCCTTTAACGACATGCATAACTTACAGACGAAGGATTCTTTTCCAGTTCTCCATGGAGATGTGAGGAAACTAAATAACATAAACTATTAAGAAAAATGGAAAACTCCAATGAGAGTGTACATGCATGTGTACATGATGTATGTGTAGAGTAACTTATAAGTAGAAGTAGCAAGATGTACCTGTTATTTGTGTGTTTATGAGAGAGAAAGAAAAGATACCTAACAAATTTATCGAAACAGGTCAACTGTTTGAGGTTTGGAAGACAGCAGTATTAAACTGCAGATCAGTTTCACTGTCATGTATAGTATGTAAAGTTACGAAGAAGAATATCAGAACAAGAGTAGTGGAGCACCTAGAAAGGAGCAGGCTAATACAGTTTCAAGGTAGGGAAATTCTGCATCACAAACCTATTGGAGCTCCACGACAAGGTAACGAAAATAGGAGAGGAGAGAGAGGGATGGGCAGACTGCATCATCTTGGACTGTAGGAAGACTTTTGGTAGTGTACCACACAAGAGACTGGTTGAAAAACTTGAGGAGTAGGCAGGACTAAAAGGAAACGTACTGAAATGGATCAAGGAATACCTGACAGGAAGGAAACATGTATTGGTACACGACGAAGCGTTAAAGTGGGGTTCCACAAGGGTCAGTCTTAGGTCCGGTGCTGTTTTTCTTGTATATGTTAATGACAACGGGATCTGGACAGGCTGAAACCTGATCCGACAAATGGCTCTTGGAGTTGAACCCCAAGTGCACAGTTATGAAGCTTGGGGAAAGACAAATAAGACTGCAGACAGAGTTCAGCCTAGAAGGTCAAAGGCTGTGAAACTCACTCAAAGAAAATGATCTTGGGGTGAGCATCGTACCGAGCACATCTCCTGAGGGGCACATGAACCAAATAACCGCTGCAGCATACGGGCGCCTAGAAAACCTAAGAATATCGTTTCGACATCTAAGTAGTCATTCACAACACTTTACACTATATACGTCAGGCTCATGTTGAAGTATGCAGCACCAGTATGGAGCCCACACCTGGTCAAACACGTCAAGAAATTAGAGAAAGTGCAATGGTTTGCAACAAGACTAGTCCCAGAGCTAATGGGTTTGTCCTATGAGGAGAGATTAAGGGAATTGAACTGGCGACACCGGAGGACAGGAGGAATAGGGAGGGCATAACAACATGTAAAATACTGAGAGGAATTAACAAGGTGGACAGGGCCAGAATGTTTCAGAGATGGGACACAGGAAGATGGGGACAGAACTAGAAGCTGAAAATTCAGATGAGTCATGGGGATGTTAGGAAGTACTTCTTCAGCCTTAGAGTTGTCAGGAAGTGGAAGAATCTAGAGAGTGAAGTAGTGGAGGCAGGATCCATACATGGCTTTGAGAAGAGGAACGATAAGGCTCTTGGAGAAGAGAGAGAGAGTGGACCTAATAGTGATTTGCGAAGAAACGAGGCCAGGAGTTGTGAATCGATCCCTGCAACCACATTTAGGTGAGTACACACACACACACACATGCAGGCGCATGCAAACAAGCACACACACACACACATTCATAGCTTTAAGAAAAGGTATGTTAAAGCTCATGGACGGGAAGAGTGACCCAGTAGCGGCCAGTGAAGAGGCGGGGCCAGGAGCTGTGAATCGCCCCCTGCAATCACAACTAGGTGAGTACACACACATAGGTTAGGTTAGGTAAGGTTCGTCAGGAAACAGGTCATCTAGGAAAACACTAACATCTTATCTATGCTACCACAGGTAATGCTGGAAGGTAGCAAAGAACCTCCAACTAAGCCCAAGGGAAGACCCAAGAAGAACTCGGTGCCTTCCTTCGCTGAGCTCCAGAGAATGAAGGAGGCGCAGGAGGAGGAAGAGAGGAAGACGAGAGGAGGCGTCAAGGAAGCACCGGAGGAGGAAGACACGGGGAAGAAGATGGTCTTCCAGCTCACTGACACGAATCTTCCGAGTGATGAAGCGGAGAAGACACACTGGGCAGCAAAAGAAGAGGTTGAAGAAGAGGAGGAGGAAGACGAAGAAGTGGAAGACGAAGAGGAAGACGATGAGGAACTAGTTGATGTAGGTGTGGAAGGAAGGATATGTAAGGAGGTTCAAGAGGAATTACAACAGCCGAATAGCGTGGGGCACAGGAAGGTAGATTTGATTAGGAGCAGTGAGATAGTGCAGTGACGTGAGGCAGTGACGCGTAGCAGTGATAATTAACAATTATGCGTAGCAATAATGTGTGGCAGTGATGTATAGTAGGGATGAATACAAATCATGTGTAGCAGTGATATGCAACAGTGATGTGAATCAATGGTATGTGGCTGCAGTGATGCTTAGCCTTGATGTAGTTATGTTTAGTAGTTAAATGTGACTATGATGTGATACGTGCCATACATCATTTCTACACATCATTTTCCTTAGTTACTGCGACACATGATGTGCTCCACGTATCTATGGCACTGATATGTAGCCATGATTATGTGTGGTACTGATGTGTAGCAGGTGTATGTGGCAGTGATGTGTAGCAGTGATGTGTAACAGTAATGTGAAGCAGTGATGTGTGGAAGGGACTCCAAGGAATCATGTTCTGCAGTGAAATGTTTCAGTGATGTATCGCAGAAATGTGTTGCAGTGATGTGTGGCAGTGATATGTTGCAATGATGTACGACAGTGATGTGTGGCAGTGATGTATGACAGTGATGTGTGGCTGTCATGTGTAGTAGTACTGTGTAGCCCTGACGTGTTGCAGTAATGTGTGACAGTGACGTGTAGCAGTGATGTGTAGCGTAGTGATATGTGTCACTGACATGTACCAGTGTTGTGTGACAGTGATGGAAGGCAATGAAGTGTAGCAGTGATGTGTAGCGCAGTGATATATGCAACATGTATCAGTGATGTGTTGCAGTGAAGTGTGGAACTGATATGTAGCAGTGACGTGTGTTTGTCACTAATCAGTGATGTGAGGCAATGAAGTGTCGCAGTGATGTACGGTAGTGCTATACAGCAGTGATATGTTGCAGTGATGTGTAATAGTGGTGTGTACCAGTGATATTTAGAAGTGTGTAGCAGTGATATTTGGCACTGATGTGTAGCAGCAGTGTATAGCAATTATGTAAAACAGTATGTGCGATAATGATGTGCATATGTGATGTGTAGCAGGGTTGTGTGACCGTAATATTTAGCAGTGATGTGCGGCAGTGAGATATAGCAGTGAAATATAGTGACGTTTAGCAGTGATGTGCAGCTGTGATGTGAGGCATTTATGTGTAGCTGTGATGTGAGGCATTTATGTGTAGCAGTGATGTGTAGCAGAGAGTCGTGGAAGTGATGTGTAGCAGTGATATTTTACAGATATAAGAGGTAGTGTAGTGGTGTGTGGCAGTGCAGCGATGTGTAGCAGTGATGTGCAGCAGTGATATGTTACAGTTACATGGGACAGTGCAGTGATGTGTAGCAGTGACGTGTTACAGATATTTGTGGCACTGATGTGTAGATCTTATGTATGGTAGTTGTGTGTAACGATGATGTGTAATAATTATGTGTGACGTTGATGTGCAGCAGCTATGTGCAGGAATGATGTGTAACTGAAAGTGTAGCTTTGATGTGAAACATCTGTGTGTGGCAGTGATGTGTAGCAGTGATATGTGGCAGTGATATGTGGCAGTGATGTGTAGCAGTGATGTGTAACAATCATGAGTGGCACTGATGTGTAGATATGCTGCAGCGATGTATAGCAGTGATGTGTGGCAATGCCATGTAGTAGTGATGTGCACAGAGATGTGTTGTATTGATATGTAGCGTTGTTTGACAATGACGTGTAGTAATGTGAGGCAGTGATGTGGAGCACTGAGGTGCTGCAGTGATGTGGAGCAGTGATGTGCTGCAGTGATGTGTAGCAGTGATGTGCACAGAGATGTGTTGTAATGATATGTAGTAGTGATGTGAAGTAATGTGTTGTAGTGATGTGTAGTAGTGATGTTTTTTTTACTATACAAAATCATTTAGTGTCGAATTTATGTGATATTGAAACAGGTGAAGTAAATTGGAATTTGAATCATGTTAAACAGCTGAATTATTAACTACGTACTTAATACCATTTGTTGGTATCTGTTTTTAAGAGAAATATATTGCTAAAGGTATCAAGTTGATCATCAATCATAATCATCTATCTAAAAGGTATCAATAGAAACATCATGCATCATCCTCACCTGTAAAGGTATCATTACAAACATCATTCATCATCCTCCCGTAAAGGTATCATTACAAACATCATTCATCATCCTCACCTGTAAAGGTATCATTACAAACATCATTCATCATCCTCACCTGTAAAGGTATCATTACAAACATCATTCATCATCCTCACCTGTAAAGGTATCATTACAAACATCATTCATCATCCTCACCTGTAAAGGTATCATTACAAACATCATTCATCATCCTCACCTGTAAAGGTATCAATAGAAACATCATTCATCATCCTCACCTGTAAAGGTATCATTACAAATATCATTCATCATCCTCACCTGTAAAGGTATCATTACAAATATCATTCATCATCCTCACCTGTAAAGGTATCATTACAAACATCATTCATCATCCTCACCTGTAAAGGTATCATTACAAACATCATTCATCATCCTCACTTTTAAAGGCATCAGTGCAAATATTTTTTATCATGTCTTGAAGGTATCAACACATCCATCAATTATTATCCTCATCAATATAAATATTCATTTAACACACTCACTTTTCAGGGCATCACTAAAACCATCAATTATCATCCACAACATCTCAAGGTGAGCAAGTAACTCGTATGTATATAAGCAATGTGAGAAATCTCTGGGTGAGAAATGTGAAGCAGATGTGAGAAAGAACAGCAGAATATTCATTTATTTCTCAGATACTCGTATAATTCTGGTTTCCGGCCAAATTATTAAATATTTATTATTACATATTTATGTAATGTACATTTGTTATAGATATGGTTTGACTCTTTTGTTTGAAGAGTCAAACCATGTCTATATCAAAATCTGTAACAAAAACAGATACAGTAAACTCTTATTTATAAGAATAATCCGCTAATGTCCAACAGAATTTATCACTGATAAACAGTACAAACGGTTGATGAATTATATACATCAAGATTACAGTGTTCAACACCTGCTACTATGAAAATAAATGGTATAAAATACCGACACTATGGAAACATAAACACATATGCAGTTTAATGTGATCCTTTATTGACAACGTTTCGCCCACACAGTGGGCTTTTTCAAGTCACAAACAGATCTACCTGGGGTGGAAGGTACGGGAGTATTTATAGTCAGGTTCAGAATGTTGAGGTCAGGTGGAGAATGCTGCATCTGATGATCCACTGGGTGGGGTTATAGAGTCTTGGGTAGCTTGGCAGGGGTATTGGATAAGTTGTGAGTAGACCTTCTGCAGTGGAATCATCCTGGAATCATCGCTTATCTCTATAATCAACAATTTCAACCAGAACAATGGCTTCTATAACATAGCTGAACCACTTGCCAAGAAACTTCTTCATCGCTATCCCACATAAGAACATAGAACACTGGTAGGTAAGACACATAGGCAACAGTTAGGCAACTTTATTCCGAAACGTTTCGCCTACACAGTAGGCTTCTTCAGTCGAATACAGAAAGTAGGCAGGAACAGTAGAGATGTGAAGACGATGTAATCAGTCCATCACCCTTGAAGTCGAAGAATTTGAGGTTGTCAGTCCCTCAGCCTGGAGAAGTTCAGTTCCATAGTCAGGAACTATCTGAAGATCAAGCGACAGTGTGGAGACTTAAATACTGTCGGAAGGAGAGGTGCAGAGTAGTAGTAGTAGTGAGAATGTAGCCACTGAGAGGTCAGGTCCCTCTCAGATCCAACAGTTCTCACTTGAAAGGGTTGTCCATGTTTTCTGTACCAAGAGGCCATGTGTTGCAGTGTCTGACAAGATGAACATCAAAATGGTATACAATACCGACAGGTTGGTAGATAAGACACATAGGCAACAGTTAGGCAACTTTATTCCGAAACGTTTCGCCTACACAGTAGGCTTCTTCAGTCGAATACAGAAAGTAGGCAGGAACAGTAGAGATGTGAAGACGATGTAATCAGTCCATCACCCTTGAAGTCGAAGAATTTGAAGTTGTCAGTCCCTCAGCCTGGAGAAGTTCAGTTCCATAGTCAGGAACTATCTGAAGATCAAGCGACAGTGCGGAGACTGATTACATCGTCTTCACATCTCTACTGTTCCTGCCTACTTTCTGTATTCGACTGAAGAAGCCTACTGTGTAGGCGAAACGTTTCGGAATAAAGTTGCCTAACTGTTGCCTATGTGTCTTACCTGCCAACCTGTCGGTATTGTATACCATTTTGATGTCCATCTTGTCAGACACTGCAACACATGGCCTCTTGGTTCAGAAAACACCTTGGACAACCCTTTCAAGTGAGAACTGTTGGATCTGAGAGGGACCTGACCTCTCAGTGGCTACAATCTCACTACTACTACTACTCTGCACCTCTCCTTCCGACAGTATTTAAGTCTCCGCACTGTCGCTTGATCTTCAGATAGTTCCTGACTATGGAACTGAACTTCTCCAGGCTGAGGGACTGACAACTTCAAATTCTTCGACTTCAAGGTGATGGACTGATTACATCGTCTTCACATCTCTACTGTTCCTGCCTACTTTCTATATTCGACTGAAGAAGCCTACTGTGTAGGCGAAACGTTTCGGAATAAAGTTGCCTAACTGTTGCCTATGTGTCTTACCTACCAACCTGTCGGTATCGTATACCATTTTGATGTTCATCAACATAGAACACTGCAGAAGGTCTACTCACAACTTATCCAATACCCCTGCCAAGCTATCCAAGACTCTATAACCCCACCCAGTGAATCATCAGATGCAGCATTCTCCACCTGATCTCAACATTCTGAACCTGACTATAAATACTCCCTTACCTTCCACCCCAGGTAGATCTGTTTGTGACTTGAAAAAGCCCACTGAGTGGGCGAAACGTTGTCAATAAAGGATCACATTAAACTGCATATGTGTTTATGTTTCCACCTGCTACTATTCTGAGGGACTAATTACCTAATCTTTAACACCTGCTACCAGGCTGAGGGACTAATTACCTCATCTTTAGGACCTGCTATTAAGCTGAGGGACTAATTACCTCATCTTTAGGACCTGCTATTAGGCTGAGGGACTAATTACCTCATCTTTAACACCTGCTACTAGGCGGCTGACAGTGGAAAATGAAACAATCAGTCTTTCAACTATGATGGGAGGTTCAGTCCAATAGCATTATGAAAGAAGTTCAGTCTTTCAGGCATGACAGAGGTGGTTCACTCCATTAGCCATAATGGGGGTTTAGTCCCATTACCTTGATAAGCGTTCACCGCTTTATCTTAAGCTTAAAGAGAATGAATACCTTATCTTCCACTCTGAAACATCCCCATAGATAACGACACCTCATTGTTACTCAGATTTGCATCTGTTTCGTCATGTGACGTGTGTGTGCTATGTTTTTCTCAACACATTGAAGAGCTTGCTTATCTTGAGGGAGTTTGCTCTTACCTATTAAAGTTTAAAAGATATGTAGAGTATCAATCGATTGTTTTTATTAACACATCGCCCGTCTCCCACCAAGGCAGGGTGGCCCCAAAAAGGAAAACTTTCATCATCATTCACTCCATCACTGTCTTGCCAGAGGCACACTTACACTTCAGTTACAAAACTGCAACATTAACACCACTTCTTCAGAGAATCGATTAATCATTCAATATTCTTTATTTCTTAATATGCTGTGAGGTATAGGCACACCACACATTATATATTCCACGTAAATATAATACTGGTGCACTATGCATTTCTCAGCTGCTTTTTTCTAAATAACTTCTAGTTGGCTCGTGATTTTGTAGCCAACTTATTCTAGATTTTATTACATCCAAAATAATTAAAAAAAATTGTACAATATGTTTCAGTGAAGATCTGGGAAATATATTAGATGAAAAACACAGAATTCTCATTAACAAGTGATGTTAAGTACTTAGTATGTAATATAGAAACATGTTTAAATAAAAATATATTACATAAATGTACAGCATTATGACTAGTATTATGAGTGGGTAAACATTTTCCGAACATTTGTAAACATTATATTAAAAATGGTGAAGTACATCTGTCCTTTGTATAAGTATATTCCTTGTTGGCTCTTTTACACCCGTTGTATTTAATGATAAATACCATCAGTGTTTTATATTAGCAACTAAGTTTCCATATGTGAGACCAATGTGCAGTATGTGAGACCAATGTGCAGTATGTGAGACCAATGTACAGTATGTGAGACCAATGTGCAGTATGTGAGACCAATGTGCAGTATGTGAGACCAATGAAACAGTATGTGAGACCAATGTGCAGAAAGTGAGACCAATGTGCAGTATGTGAGACCATGTACAGTATGTGAGACTAATGTACAGTAGTGAGACCAATGTACAGTATGTGAGACCAATGTCAGTATGTGAGACCAATGTACAGTATGTGAGACCAATGGGCAGTATGTGAGCCCAATGTACAGTATGTGAGACCAATGTACAGTATGTGAGACCAATGTACAGTATGTGAGACCAATGTACAGTATGTGAGACCAATGTGCAGTATGTGAGACCAATGTACAGTATGTGAGACCAATGTACAGTATGTGAGACCAATGTACAGTATGTGAGCCCAAATGTACAGTATGTAGACCAATGTACAGTATGTGAGACCAATGTACAGTATGTGAGACCAATGTACAGTATGTGAGACTAACGTACAGTATATAAATAACAAAAAGGCACAATACCGTGACTGGAACGATACACAAATAACCCGCACATGAAAGAGAGAAGCTTACGACGACGTTTCGGTCCGACTTGGACCATTGACAAAGTCACACTAACAGAGGTAACGAACGAACGAAAGTTCAGGTAAGATCCCAAATGGGATGAGCGGGGAAGACGGGACAGACAAGAACAGTGCTGGAGAGGATGTTTTCTTAGTCGTAGAAATTGGAGCCGGGCTTAACCCCAGCAGCGAGGCGATCGGGGACAGATATTGAGAAGAGAAATTCAGGCTCTCTGTTTGGACTTCCGGGGGGGTGAGCGGGAAGGAAGGGACATGCGACGTTAGAGCTAGAGAGGAGTGTAGAACTGGCCATGTCTTAACCCCAAAAGGGGAAGGCGAACGGGATCAGAGAATGGTACCTGTCATAGAAGGTACCTCTCGGGAAAACCAAGGTTTATTTGTAAATAGGGTTAGGAGCAGGGTCATGCAAGGAGTAGAAAAGGTTGTGTTGGTCTGTGGGTTTTGCGAATGTCTTCGTCAAGGAGAGAGGTCCAGTAGTCATGATAGTGTCACGAGTTTGTCAATTTTGTCTTCCTGACGTCTCCAGTACAGATTTCACGCAGAAAGTCTAATGGGCATGGAGAGACTCGCTTGTTGCGAAGTCCCTCCCATCTGACATCAGCACCCAGCGCAGCGCCTTGTTTGACACGCTGCAGTTAAGTAATTGTTTTTTGGCAGCAAGAGAGAGGGCTAGAGAGAGTAAGTTAACAGAGGACGTATAAAGGGGATTAGTAGAGGTGTAGTTTGGTGCGTTGAGAGCATGTATCAAGCTTTAGAGGCCCGCAAGGTCTTACCTACTATTGCATGCCTTTGAGTGAATGTGTTCCCGTGGAAGCGTAGAAGTAGTCAAGATTAACGCCAAGGACATGACAGATTGTGTCATGGGGATAGTAAGTGCGGTGTCAGCTGTTCTGAGCTCGACAGTTAATGGAGTGATCACGTTTTCCTGTAGTTAAAATATGCAAATTGCGTATTTAGCTGCATTGGTTTTGATCCTCCTTCCATTTTGTTCCAGATGCTACCTGTCGACCTCATTTTGTGTTAGTGTGTGAGTGTATCTATATTGGCATGAGTGATAAGTTGTGTAATACAGTTGGCAAAGCGCAATTGTGATGGAGTTGTGATACAGGAGTTGGAATGTCGTTAGGTATAAAATGTAGGGTAGGGGAGAGGACATATCCTGGGGTTCTCCGCATTTAGTGTGAAGTATCAGAGTAACAGCCTTGGAATTTGATTCTCATGTACGGCGTCTAGGAAGTTGCAGAGGAGTTTTACGAGTAGTGAGAGGCAGGGTAAGTAGTGCAGAGTTTGAACTTGAGTCCTTGGTGCCAGTGTCAAATGCTATTCAACGTCTTTTGCAATCCAGGGCTGTCCTGTTTTCTTTGTTCTGTGTTTTATGTGGGATGTAGTTGAAATGATGTTACATGGTATCCTTTGTGGATCTGAGTGTTCTGAAGCAAACTTGACCAACAGAAAGTAGAAGTTGTGTTCCAGTATCTGCGAAGGCGATGGTTGATGAGTGTTTCAAAGAGTTACCTAAAGTTTCGAGGAGGCAGATAGGGCGAAGTTTCTAGGATCAGAAGTTGGGTCCCCCCCCCCCCCCCCCTTTTTTGGGTTAAGGATGGAGGATAGCATAGCAGCTTTGAAGAGGGAAGGGAAGTATCCAGAGCAAGGGA